CCCCCCCCCCCCCCCCACCAAGTCAACATTTTGCCCTAAGTGAGAAGTACCTGTTAATGATGGCTTAGGGGAGGGGCTGGTGGGCAGTTTCCCAGAAATGTATAAGGATCAGACCTAATTATTTCGGTTTCGAAAGGGTGGGTAGAGGCGTTTTTGGCCGAGCGGTTAACACTTCGAACCCCGGATCTGGAGGTCCGGATTTCAAGCGTTGTTTCCTCAGACAAGGAACTTTACTCCCACTGTCTCTCTTCACCCAGGGCCGAGTTGTTCAAAGCTGGGTTAAGATTACCCAGGGTTAGTGCGAAATTTGAAATCAGATTTGAATGCTTAAAAAGTAAATACAGTTTAATTCTTTCTGTCAGCAAGTTGATGATTGGATGCTTTTAGAAATAACAGCGAAAATTGTCGGAGAAAATGCTTTTGAACAAAAGAAAAAGAAACCTGGGTTAAATTTAACCCTTGGGTTAGGCGGTAATCGGCGTTCGAACTACTGGGCCCAGGTGTATAAATGGGTACCGGGGACATACTGCCGGGGGCAACACTACGATGGACCAGCATCCCTTCCAGGGGGAGTAGCAATACTCCCAGGCATGCTACATGCTAAGGAAACCGGGATAAGCTGCCGTCGTTTGGGCCTTTGGTTGGTGTGCGCCTTCACCTTCTTTACCTGGAAAGGGAGGTGCTGAGCGCGCATTCCCGCTCCTTTTCCAAGAGAATCCCGCATCCCGAACTTCTGTCACCCCTATCCCGAATATCGTTTCTTTCCAAATCCCGCATCCCGTGCTCATTAAATTTTAGCCAATCCCACTTCCCGGGTAGCAGTCAAATCCCTTACCCGTAAACTTCTCCCGAATCCCGCACTGTATTTTGGTCAAATCCCGGATCCCGGGAACACCCTTCCAGACCCGGATCATTGTCCGCCAAAGGAGTTTTCCTATTTGTGTTGGTCGTTTCGGTCAGAAACATCTTATTTTCCTAATTACAGTGGAAACAGCAATGCATTGGAAGTCAATACACCTGTCATTGTCTAGTGCAGGAGGTGTCGGGAACAATAAGGGCTATATATCTCTATTATTTGAGGAATTTTCACTACTTAGTTGATGGCTGGGACTCTTGCCACTTGTTGCAGAATTTTGCTCCGTTTCTTAACACGAAATGGAAATATTTGCGTCATAATTTACTACAATTTTCTGTTCACCCCCAATGATGAAGACCTACCATGACCATGCTAATTCTTAGTAAGCTAACTATCAAGGAATTATACCTCCGATGGTCGGTTGTCCATCAGTCGATAAACCTTGTGGTCCATTTTATAGTTCTCATTGTAACGTTGTGTCTACATTGCTGAAATAGAAGTTATACGGTCCAAAACCCCAAAGGACTTGCAAATTCATAGGCCGACATGGTAACTGACAGACAACGTTTTTAATATTCTAGCAGAGAAATGAAGTCCAAATGTTCAACTGGGTTCAAAAGGGGCTATGCAACGAGGATCTTGCTGTTTTAGGATTCTGTGAAAAATTAAATAATATTAGTGTCTTTACTCAAACACAAAATGCTCCTGCATTTAGTTTTATGAGGACGATATCAACAAATCTCATCAGGAGCACTAACCACAACTATTTTTTGCTCAGTGATTTTTTACTTCAGGCAAAGCATTAAAACTTGAAAATGTTAGCCCAGCTTTTTCAAGTTTCAATCCATCTCAATCCTTGCCATCCTTTGCAAAAGACGCCATAAAACAGCTTCAGGGCTTCAATATAGCCTTCAATAACAAACTTTGGCCGTTATTTTTGGAATTCAATTGATGCGCTTAAAGTTTTAACCTTTTAAAAAGATAACAAATAGCGTGGAAGGTTGGGTCTAACTTAAAAGTGTTGAACATTATCTCATTTATATAGGACTCTTCATCAGAGCCGGGTTTTCAAAGGGCTGTCAGTTACTTCAGTAAGATTCAGTAATGTATATGACTCTTGAATTCTCACTTTGGAGTCTCCAAAGCGCCGGACAATCTTAATAGCTAAGTCCATCATAAACGACCAGCTCTTATTGCGCCGATCACTTTTATGAATTGCCTAGATTTTCGAGGCTTGACTGTACCAAGTTTAGGCGAAATATAAGGCTTTGTCTTGTTATCGGTTGTTTCTAAAACTTGTGTTTTGTATTTTTTCTGCTCTCGTTTCTTCCCTCCTTTTTCTTTCCTTCCCTTTTTTTTTTTTTTTTTTTTTTTGGGAGGAGGTCCGGATTTCAAGCGTTGTTTCCTCAGACAAGGAACTTTACTCCCACTGTCTCTCTTCACCCAGGGCCGAGTTGTTCAAAGCTGGGTTAAGATTACCCAGGGTTAGTGCGAAATTTGAAATCAGATCTGAATGCTTAAAAAGTAAATTCAGTTTAATTCTTTCTGTCAACAAGTTGATGATTGGATGCTTTTAGAAATAACAGAGAAAACTGTCGGAGAAAATGCTTTTGAACAAAAGAAAAAGAAACCTGGGTTAAATTTAACCCTTGGTTAAGCGCTAATCGGCCTTCGAACTACTGGGCCCAGGTGTGTAAATGAGTATCGGGGATATACTGCTGGGGGCAACAGTACGATAGACCAGCATCCCTTCCAGGGGGAGTAGCAATACTCCCAGGCATGCTACATGCTAAGGAAACCGGGATAAGCTGCCGTCGTTTGGGCCTTCTTTACCTGGAAAGGGTGGTGCTGAGCGCGCATTCCCGCTCCTTTTCCAAGAGAATCCCGCATCCCGAACTTCTGTCATCCCTATCCCGAATATCGTTTCTTTCCAAATCCCACATCCCGTGCCCATTAAATTTTAGCCAATCCCACTTCCCGGGTAGCAGTCAAATCCCTTACCCGTAAACTTCTCCTGAATCCCTCACTGTATTTTGGTCAAATCCCGGATCCCAGGAACACCCTTTCAGATCTGGATCATTGGCCGACCAAAGAAGGTTTCCTATTAAAGTTGGCCGTTGCGGTCAGAAACATCTTATTTTCCTAATTACAGTGGATACAGAAAAGCATTGGAAGTCAATTCACCTGTCATTGTCTAGTGCAGGAGGTGTCGGGAACAATAAAGGCTATATATCGCTATTATTTGGAGAATTTTCTCTATTTTTTTGATAGCTTGTACTCTTGCCACTTGTCACAGACTTTTGCCCTATTTCTTAACACGAAATGGAAATATTTACGTCATAATTTACTGCAATTTTCTGTTCACCCCCAATGGTGAAGACCTACCATGACCATGCTAATTCTTAGTAAGCTAACTATCAAGGAATGATACCTCCGATGGTCGGTTGTACATCAGTCGATAAACCTTGTGGTCCATTTTATAGTTCTCATTGTATAACGTTGTGTCTACATTGCTGAAATAGAAGTTATACGATTCAAAGCCCCAAAGGACTTGCAAATTCATAGGCCGACATGGTAACTGACAGACAACACGTTTTTAATATTCTGGCAGAGAAATGAAGTCCAAATGTTCAACTGTGTTCAAACGAGGATATTGCTGTTTTAGGATTCTGTGAAAAAGTCATTAATATTAGTGTCTTTACTCAAACACAAAATGCTCCTGCGTGTAGTTTTATGAGGACGATATCAAAAAATTTCATCAGGAGCACTCACCACAATTATTTTTTGGTTAGTGATTTTTTACTTCAGGCATAGCATTAAAACTTGAAAATGTTAGCCCAGCTTTTTCAAGTTTCAATCCATCTCAATCCTTGCCATCCTTTGCAAAAGACGCCATAAAACAGCTCCAGGGCTTAAATATAGTCTTCAATAACAAACCTTGTTCGTTATTTTTGGAATTCAATTGATGCGCTTAAAGTTTTAACCTTTTAAAAAGATAACAAATAGCGTGGCAGGTTGGGTCTAACTTAAAAGTGTTGAACATTACCTCATTTATATAGGACTCTTCATCAGAGCCGGGTTTTTCAAAGGGCTGTCAGTTACTTCAGTAAGATTCAGCAATGTATATGACTCTTGAATTCTTACTTTGGAGTCTCCAAAGCGCCGGACAATCTTAATAGCTAAGTCCATCATAAACGACCAACTCTTATTGCGCTGATCACTTTTATGAATTCCCTAGATTTTCGAGGCTTGACTCTACCAAGTTTAAGAGAAAAAATCGTTTGTTTCTAAAACTTGTGTTTGTCTTTTTTCTGCTCTCGTTTCTTCTTTCTTTTTTCTTTCTTTCTCTTTTTTGGGGGGGGCTGGGAGGGGCTTACAAACTTACAAATAAAAAAGCTTTTCTGTCCTAGTTTTCCCAGGAACCGGCTAACGTTCGATAAGGTCCTCTGTATAAGTGTCTCAGAGGCTGGTGGCATATCTACGCGTTCAAAGATTTCTTCAGCTCATCGGATAAGACATCGTCACGGTCTGCTTTTCACGACATTGCGTCGTGTTGGAAAGAATTAAATTCATTTTAACCCTTTCAATCCCAGAGTCGACCCAGAGCCTTAAATGATGAAGTCGCAGTGCATGTAAGGTACTTGTAACTTTCATCACTGTGGACGAAATCCTATGGTGTGGCCATTCGATAAAACTTACTTCGACTTACGTGATACCCGTTTGTTTTTCAGTATTTTAGAAAATGAAATTTGGAAAGTTTCTTTTAGTTTTGGTTCGGTCAATTTGGGGAGTGAATAATTCAAAGCATCGATCATACAGCGGCGTTGTCAATAATGGCTCTCGCAAAAGCAGTGTTTCACATAGATAGAGAGAACGATAACTTTTCTTCAATCAAAGTATATTGTTATGTTTTTAAATATATATTACACATGGGCGGATTAAGGGGTGAGGTCGAGGAAAGAGCGGCCACCCCTTTGTCTATAACATTTTTTTTAAATAAAGATTTCTTAGTAAAAGAAATAGTATCTATATAGTTGGCAAGTGTCCCGGTTTTCCCTTTGTAAATTTTCTGGATCCGCCCTTGTTGCACGTAATGGATGTATTCGAAATCTGGGATCAGATGCTCGCATGAGCGTGGCTTGAACCGTAGGCGTCTGCTTATCATAGCGTGAAAGAAAGTGCTCCAAATATTTCCGCCTGAAGCCAGTGGTCCTCAGATCGATAAGTAATAAGATCTCGGTCCAATCCATTTGCTTTGTTTAGGAACCTTGATCACTACAAACTCTTTTCCCGGTTTACTTATAACATCACCTGTTCAGTTGTGATTATAAATTCATTATTCAGAGGCACCCAACGACCGTTTTNGGATAAGACATCCTCACGGTCTGCTTTTCACGACATTGCGTCATGTTGGAAAAAATTAAATTCATTTAAACCCTTTCAATCCCAGAGTCGACCCAGAGCCTTGAATGATGAAGTCGCAGTGCAAGTAAGGTACTTGTAACTTTCAACGCTGTGGACGAAATCCTATGGTGTGGCCATTCGATAAAACGTACGTCGGCTTACGTGATATTGTTTTTCAGTATTTTAGAAAATGAAAGTTGGAAAGTTTCTTTTAGTTTTGGTTCGGTCAATTTGGGGAGTGAATAATTCAAAGCATCGATCATACAGCGGCGTTGTCAATAATGGCTCTCGCAAAAGCAGTGTTTCACATAGATAGAGAGAACGATAACTTTTCTTCAATCAAAGTATATTGTTATGTTTTTAAATATATATTACACATGGGCGGATTAAGGGGTGAGGTCGAGGAAAGAGCGGCCACCCCTTTGTCTATGACATTATTTTTAAATAAAGATTTCTTAGTAAAAGAAATAGTATCTATATAGTTGGCAAGTGTCCCGGTTTTCCCTTTGTAAATTTTCTGGATCCGCCCTTGTTGCACGTAATGGATGTATTCGAAATCTGGGATCAGATGCTCGCATGAGCATGGCTTGAACCGTAGGCGTCTGCTTATCATAGCGTGAAAGAAAGTGCTCCAAATATTTCCGCCTGAAGCCAGTGGTCCTCAGATCGATAAGTAATAAGATCTCGGTCCAATCCATTTGCTTTGTTTAGGAACCTTGATCACTACAAACTCTTTTCCCGGTTTACTTATAACATCACCTGTTCAGTTGTGATTATAAATTCATTATTCAGAGGCACCCAACGACCGTTTTCTGTGAAATATCTGCTCGGAGAAGCAAATATTGCCTAGAACTTTCTAGTACTTGAGGAGGGCTAAAAATTTCTAGATGACCGTTGCACTCACGTACAATTTTCGAAGCTTATCTAATAAATTTCCTACGAGTCTTCTGAAGTTTATTTTCACTTTTCACTTCCCAAGTTAGGCTATTTTTTGCAGAGTGAAAGGAAAGCGAACATTTCCGGATTCAAAAATGCAATGGAGAGAGAAATCAGAAAATGTCTCACTTTCGTGATACGTCAAATTTCATCTAAAATTTTCGGGAAAATAATACTCAAGCCCTTGTAATTTCGAAAAGACTCAAGTTCCCCTACGATGACCGAACAGCGACAAATTATATAGCGCCACTTAGAATCTAAAAGTTCTCTGGATAGCCTAAAAAGTGTTACCTGCATTTTGGAGGAAACCGTCGTTGGGTGCCCCTGATTATGAGCATGGAGAATGTTCTATTTAAAAGGATAAAACATATAACATCTACAGATAACATCATAACATTTAGAATGTTATCTTTTGCTCTCAGAAAGTGCTTTTATTCAACCGAGCATTGTTAACGTTTTGTTTACTTGGAGGGCGACAAGTATCCAACGGGTGGAAGGTCAAATATTTCACCAACAAAGACAATGAAGTAAACAAACCAGGCCTAAAATGTCTTTGACGACTAGTAGTATCTCGCTATTGACCCTTCTGTGGAGTTGTCTTGTCGTAGCAGACCTTTCTCAAGGAATGCTTTTTCCCAGGGAGACAGAAACGCGACAGGTTAAATCTTTGGACGGGATGTGGGATTTTAGAGCGGATATTTCCTTTGTCGGGTTTGAAGAGATGTGGTACTCGTTACCCTTGGCAGAGGTAAACGTTCTTCATTGATGGATTGCACTATGCTGATTTCACCCTTATTTCAAACCTCGCTGACGCTCTCCCAGCGAAAAAGATGGGGTTGCCTTATTGGCTTTAGAGCTTGGAAAAGACCTTGAACTTGTTTGAATACTAGTGCACTTCAAAAATGTTTACATTGTAGTCCACGATATAGCGAATTCAAATTGACAAGAAAGTATGAAGCTGGATTTTATTTGTAGGTGCACGTGCGTTTGTGGAAGAAAGTGTTAGGATTAAGGTTAGGATTCCCGTTAAAGGACGTTTAATCACAGGTGCGCACTTGTAAATCAATCCCCGCAATAAGATGGTAACATGCTGAAAGCCCTAAAAGCACTATAGGAAGGCAGGGAATGGATAACTAATCTAGTGAACGTTTTAATCGGATTTTAGGCATTAAAAGTTATAGAATTGCATCATCCCCCTTAAGTTTTGCCTTGAGACGGTGAATGACATGTTTCCGCCCGGTAATATAGCCAAATGTTATGAAAATGTGTCTGCTTACATTATTGCTTCGGAACGAGGAGGTCTAAAAAGCCCTCAATGTGTTCAGAAAGGTAGTGATCCGCAGCTTATATCATGAAATAAAGACCGCGCGCATTTCTTAGCTTGGACTTCTGCAGGCACCACAACTGAAGGACCTGAAGAACACTCGGGTCATTGTGAGCAACTAGCCACTACCTGTGCGCACATGCGCAATCGCCCCTTCTTTGCATGACTGTCATCGGCAACCGTCAGTGCTATCCACGGGAATTTGACATTTTGTTTTGTTTTGTTTGTTTGTTTTCTGTGAAAAATCAGTCCTTAAAGGAACCTTCAATACTCCATGATAAACATTCAGCTTCTAGGCGACTGAAAATGAGATGATGTCAAGTCGATTTTCAAGTTCCAGTGTCATAACAGGCACACGGGACTTGAAAAATCGGCCCTACTAATTTTAGGTTTGTGATGTTCCTCGACGCAATTAAGCTTCCTTTAATTTCTTTATGGATTATTTCAGAGAGGGGAAGTCTTGTCGATGCCAGTTCCCTCAAGTTACAATGACATAACCGAAGAGCGATGGCTCAGGGACTTCATTGGCTGGGTCTGGTACGAAAAGGTGTTTTATGTGCCACCGTCCTGGATAACCACCCCCAAAAAAGTGATTTTGCGGTTTGAAAGCGTGTTTTACCATTGTAAAGTGGTAAGTTAAGGGTGTTAGGGAACCCTTTGTGGTTCCTTTTAAGTAAAAGGGCCAGGCCCGAATGATTAATTAACAAAACGGTAAAGCAAAGTAGATCAAAGTAGAAAAAGTACGGCTTGACCGTATAGTATGAGTTTTTCTATTTTGCAAACTTTCCTTTAGATGGAGAACTTCAGAACTTCTTTATTAAGGATAAAAACATAAAAAGTTCTTCATGTCACAATTGCAAGTGTGGGACTAATTAAGAGCATCCGAGTTTCAGATCGCGACTGGATTCGAATCCCTAATGGCTAATGAGCCAGACATCATCTGGGCGCTCTGATGTCTGAGCTAAGACACCATGGACGGCTAAGTCGTGCACCAGAAACAAATCACGAAACATATCACATAACACGAGTCCTGTACACTGCTGGGTCCTTGTCCCCAGTACCTATAGTCAAAACGTGTTGCAACAGCAACACAAGGACATCGTGCAAGTAAGACAGGTGCCTCCCTCTTTCCTAAAAAGAAGAACCACCTCGGTAAGAGTAAAAAGGTCCCTGTCACCAGAACATTTATACTATGTTTCCCACCCTGAACACCTGTAGTACTGCAGTGAAGGTAGCAGCTTATATTAATATCTTTTCAGTGGTTAAACAACAGAGAGATATTAGAGCACGAGGGAGGAGATTTGCCATTTGAGGTTGATATTACCAAAGAAGTGCGGGCCATTAAAAGTCTTCATAGAAACTCTTATCGACTGACAGTAGCCGTGAATAATACTTTGCTATTTTCCATGCCGCCAAGAAAGTTTGGGAGCGAAACCAGCAGGTAAATAAACTATATAGGAATGTACAATGTACCAATACGTTCTAATCGTGCAATGAGAACAAACTATTATAAAATTTCATGCAGGTGACCGTTCAGGCCTCAGAGATATTTCCATGATCTACAGTGTTGTAATTCTTACAATAGCTGCATACCCGTCTGAGGGAGCCCATAGGCGACCGGAATTCAAACTCCTTAAAAGAGTGTGTCGCGCTGCGCTAGAAACCTCGAATATCCCTTATTTACTTTTGAATTCGTCAAAGTCGTTTTTCGGAGAAGGGAAGGCGTGAATAGTATTTAGTGAGTAGTATTAAGGAGTCTGTTTATAAACATTTGACTGTAAATTCGTCAGGTCATCTTACTGCGACTCATCTAATGAATACATCATAGATGTGGATTTCGCAGGAATCCATGGTTCGGTAAAGCTATACACTACCCCGGAAGTATACATATCTGACATCACTTACACAACTAACCATGATTACAACAAGGCTTCCATAAAATTCATAACAAAAGTTGACGTAGACGAGCACATGAAACAGAATCAGATCATTATGAATTACGAGTTACTGGACAGACAGGGGAGAGTGGCAGCTTCTGTTGGAGGCAAAAAGATTTTCAGAGGGGAGATGACAGTGGATAACCCTACCCTTTGGTGGCCGATTGGTATGAGCGACACACCAGGTTATCTTTATACATTAAAGGTAAAGTAAATACGAAGAGAATTTTCAACTTCCGCTTTTCGTTTCAACAAAGTTGCAAAGATTCACTTTTATAACTAAAGAGAAAATCAATAGTCATTTTTAATTACCTACACAATTTAAGTAGCTTTCTTATTTGAAAAATGATCAGAGAGAAAATGTGTTAGGGTAAGTTTTTGTTCAGTCTGCTTCATTGTATGCGTTTCTCTTCGTAATCATTAATATTTATTCAGTTTATTCTATTTAATTAGGTGTTGGACATTTTAACTTTATTCAGCGATATATATAAATAAGTCTGTTTTTGGGTCGGTTCGGAAATCAAAAGTTCCACCATATCTCAAATATCTTTTGTTAAGGGACAAAGGATGGTGTTTACAAGCTATCAGACCAGCTGGACACACTTTAGATTCTACTAGCAAACCTTTGCTGGTCAGTTAAGGCCTTGGCTAAATGATTTTTGCACCGTCCTCTTCGGTGTTGGAATCAATCAAAAAATAGAAGTTGAACGCACGATTAATAGTAGGAAACATCACAAGTGTAGTTTCAGTCTTTCACAATTAAGGTTTAACTGAGGTTAAGAAACACCCCTTCAAGCTTATTTAAGAAACACAGAAACAAGAGCAAAAGATAGAAATAGGTAGATGTATTCAGCTGTGGAATAGGAAAACAAGCGTTTCCTGTAAACGAAGTTCGTTAACTTAAACCTGGAGTTGGTTCTCACTTTCGCTTCCAAACTTGAATCATAACCAGATTTCCTTATCTCATTAAAATCTAACCTAAGGCCACGCGTCCTAACACCTTTCGAGTTCTTTGTTCTCAGTTGACCAGTTTTAGTCAAATTTCACTTACTTTTCTGACCTCAAACTAGAATTTCTTTCGACACAATCTTAGGAAAATTTAGTTTCTTTCAAACTATCGTTTTGGTTCCCTGTAAAGGAATTTGGGTATGGAGATACAGTGAAACCTGTACTAAGCGGACGCTCTCTATTATCCGGACAGTAGCCGAGGTCCCCCAATTTTTTTCCCTTATTTACTCTAAATGAAACCTTTATTAAGCGCACACCTCTATTAAGCGGACGCGGACACCTAAAAAAAACCTGAAATGGCCATTTCTATTGTTGCCAACCTGTATTAAACGGACACTTGTAATTAAATTCTACCACCCAACATGCCAGACACCGGAAATGCGACAGATTGCCACCCACAAATTTTTCGATTTTTACATTAAATAACGTGACTTGACGAACTTATTTTATTAGTTTCACAGTACAGTATGGTATTCTATTTCGTTTAGTTTGTATAGAGCTTGTTTCACTCATCTGAGTTCTTCAAATTTGAGTTGTAATCTATGTTTATGGTACTACGATCAATTGGTCCTCTTTGATAAAGAAATTAATGCAAACGGATACCGTCATAGTCCCTGGGAGTATTCTAAACGTTTCCATTGTTCATTTGAATGGCATTTGACACCTCATATGACGTTATGACCTGTATTAGGCGGACACCCTGTATTAAGCGGACACTACAGCATTCCCCGAGGGTGTCCGCTTAATACAGGTTTCACTGTATTTTTCTACCACGCGTAGCGGGAATCAACCCCATTTCAGTTCCTTTTGTTTTCTAAACTCTGACACTTACTAACACCTTTTCCTTGCATATGAATGCCATGCAAAACTGTAAAAAATCAATTAACTTAATTGTTCAATACAAATAGAACCTCTTGTGAGTAGCTTCACAGTTACGCCTTGAGATCTGAGATAGCTAAGAGGAGTTTGTAACTTCAACGGAAAGATTAAACCATCGTCAACTGCCAAACTCTGGTTGTGTCACCTCTCTTCACGTAATCCTAAAGTCTGTAGAAGTCTCCCTCTACAAATGTTATGTACAAAGTGGACTATAACATCAACCATGCCATCGCAGTCCACATGCATGAGAATAATGTGATAGACTAGGGCAATTGCGTCACAGTCCACAGAGAACAACACCAAAAAATATCAGGGGATATAGAAGCTCAGTCATACCTACGACCCTCCACACTTTCGTAGAACAAATCAAGCTGGATGATAATGGGGAAATCTGTTACACTGTGAGGAAAGAAAAGCGACATGCGACAAAGAGACAAATTGAAGAACACCAAAACAACCTAGCCATTGCAATGCGAACCACACAACTACTATTTACCCAAATGCATACAGCTATTTCGAGAAAGTTGTCGGAAAATATGCACGCGACTATCCCCGAAAGGTATTGTGGGTGGTCTTGATTTCAGTGTTCTTCAAAGAAATTTGAAAGAATGGCACAAGAGGCCATAGACGTATGCTTGGGAGTGCTAAAGGAAAACAACAACAGTAAGTTCGACACTTATGTCCAGAAAAGTTCATGCAATGGCGAAAATGGCGAAAAATCGCCAGCCCCCGACGATTTGAATTGAATGCCAAAGTGGCCCCTTGGAGACTGGCGATTTTGGCAAAAATCGCCAGAGGGCTGGCGATAAGTATCAGTATCAGTATCAGTGTATTGATCACATCCCATATTACCTTTCGGGATAGTCGCGTGTCCATTTTTTCCGACAACTTTTCCCGAGATAGCTGTATGTATGTGACTGAAGGGTCGAAAAGTCTAACTGTTTTCTTTTAGGTAACTGCTTCATATAAGGAGATACATGATGTGTATAGGCTCCCAGTGGGCTTTAGGACCGTGCGTGTGGAGGGACCCAGATTCCTCATCAATAACATTCCTTTTTACTTTAAGGGATTTGGTAAAATACAGGATAGTGAGGTAAGTGATAATCTTCTGTTTGGTCGTTATTGTTTTAGTTCTCAAATGGATGTTTTCTTAATGACATGCTTTACGAAAGTATCACTGAAAACAAAAATTCACCGTGGAAATTTAAGGGCTGGTTTATTCCTATGACGTAAGTACAAGCGCATGCTCAGACGCAGTAACTTGTTGAAAATGTGGGTCAAACTCGTTTCAGGGTCCCTCTCTTAATTTTACTGAGGGGAAAGACCCTTTTTTTCTCGAGGAAGAGAGAGAGATGACCCTGGAAACAAGGCTGCATTAGGGCCTTTTATCATCGAAGAGCTCTTATGATTGACTGGCGTCAATGCGTCTGTGAATGCTCCCTTGCTTACGCTTACATCGTATATGCGTAAACTAGAAAATAGTCACTCAAAATTTGCAAAATTATTTATCCTTGACATCAAAGGTTGCGGAAACAAAAAACTTGGATACATGACGTAAAAGTTCAGTGATTTACAGAGTAGACCCTCCAATTTATGAGATTTCCCTCAAAAGGAGGACTAAAATACTTCTACTATACTACTGTGGTCTCCCAAATAACTGATAAACTGTTTGTTAGAATGCATGTTTCGACATAATGTCTTAACGTTTTGGGACTGAAATACTCCCACTATACTACTGAGGTCTCCACAATAACTGATAAACTGTTTACTAGAATGCATGTATATATTGTTACAATGTCTCAACGTTTTGGCCATAAATAGATCCGAGGTCGAGGCTTTGATTACGTCACTTTGGTACGAGACTTCAATCTGATGAAGTGGTTTGGTGCCAATGCCATACGTACAACCAAGCACCCACCTCCAAAGGAACTTCTGGAGCTTACAGACAGACATGGTATTGTGGTTATAGACGAGAGTCCTCCAGTGGGACCAAAGGAAATTTTTATGTACGTGAAAGTAAAATTTTCACTCTTGTAGTAGCAATTCTTTTGAATCAACATAACCGATATCATATAATGCTGAATTTTGCTAGACTGCAGATACCTACCTCAGTCTTACACTGTCTGTCCTTATGTACTTCAGAATGCTTGCTAGAAAACAATAATGGCACCGTTTCCATAAGTGTAACTCGGTGTCATTTGTTGAATGTTTTGATTCTGTCATTCGGTAGTTCATCCATTTACTAAACTGCTCATTCATTCATTCATTCATATATTCACTCATTGTTTTTATTTTGTTCATTTTTTCATTCATTCATTCATCCATCTATTCATTCCGGAAAATTACGTTTTTCCTAATCTGCCAAATTAGAAAGGAAATTGACCATCTATGATCGATTCTTTCGCTCACTCGAGAAGTCCTTACACCAAAACACAGGGAAAGGAGACAGTGGAAAGACACTTTTCAAGATCTTTACCTTCTCGTCTTCTATGCGTTAACTGATAATTCGAATTAAATCCTCGTGTCTTTGCTATCGTTGGCCGATAGCTCAATGAAAGTTTGGCTTAGGGGGGACCGGTCATTATTAATCGCCTGGCGGGGGACGGAGGATTTTAGGGGGGATCACTTGATTTTTAGGAGAACAAAACGGGGGATCAATCGTAACTTACAGCCCAAAAGGGGGAATCACTGAAAACTTTGGAAGGATTCAGGAGGGACCACTCAAATTTGCTTCGAAAATGAAGCCATGAGGGGTGGGGGGGAAATCGCGAAAGTCATCAAAAGTTGTTAAGGGGGATCACTTCAGTGAAGTAACATTCAAAGGGGGGATCAGCTAAATTTCACCTTGTTTAGCCCCAAATCCCCCCCCCCCCCCCGGCGATAAAAAATGACCGGTTCCTTAACAGGGATTTTGTGTTTCTAGGGACGACATATCAGATCACACCATAAACCGACACCTCGACCTGCTAACGGAATTGGTACAGCGGGACAAAAATCACCCCTCGATGATTATGTGGTCTATTGCTAGTCATCGGTGGGCGTGGCCGAGTGAAAATATGACGTCACACCTAAAGAAAATGATGGAGTTCACTAAGGAAATAGACATGCAAAAACGACCTGTAACATACGTGGCGTCATCGGAAGACAGATGGTCAGTGGTTGAAGATTCTGCGGTACGTTAAGCGCTATTGACAACTTTAATAGAGCTGCTTAAAATGGTTAATATTCAAAAGTTTATAGAGAATGGACGTCATAGTAGTCCAGTCTACCCGGCGTAGCAGGCTTTTCCGCTCGAGTTGTTGCGCGAAAATTAGAGGGCGAAAGCGAAAAACAAGTGGACGCGTGAAAACGCTTGTTAAGTATGAGAAAACAGCCAACAATTAAGGACGCCACCAATAGTTTCTCTGAGAAATGACCTCCGAGGAACGAGCTCTGAAATTCTATACTGAGGACGTATCACCACCCAGGTCCGGTTACTGGCACGCCATCAGTATAGAATTTCTGTGCCCGCTCCTCAGAGGTGATTCCGCGGGGAAACAAGTAGTGGCGTCTCGAAATTTTGGCTGTTTTCTCAGACTAACGCTTGTTATGCAGCGGTCTAAGTGCATTGGTCTGTTAGTAACGCATGGGCTTTCTAATGTGTGATACCCGTTTCCGGGAGACTTCAACATAAAAAGATATGTAAGACAAAAAGAAGGCCCATTAACTCCTTAGTTGGCCCAGGCTATCCAGGGAACTTTACGGCATTTGAACTGTGCTTTTGAGAAACAACCAATGATATTTCGGTAATAATCACGGCCTTCTGTAATCTTGTCCTCAGCTTGAATTCTGTGATGTAATTTCTTTCAACCGTCATTACGGCTGGTATTGGTACCCAGGCCAGCCCGACTTAATAGCCAAGTCGTTGGAAGAGGATCTACGTGGCTTACATAACGTGTTTAGTAAACCAGTGCTCATGGCGGAGTATGGGGGCAGCGCTGTAGCTGGAAAGCATAAGGTGAACAGAAGCAGAGGATAACATAATACATTAGAGTGTTCTTCCTTTTGGTTGAAACGACAGTAGAGCTTCATTTTCTGAAGATGATGCCGAAGGTCGGATGAAGGATAGAGAGCGGAAGCTCCACACGAAAAATTATTATTTTATCCACTAAATAGTATATTACAAGTAATCCCTTATATTCTTCGGGGAAGGAAGGACGGAATGAAATGAGAGAGTACTTGTGAAAATTGACAACTTAGAAGGGAAATAACATTGTATTCTCTCTGGGTGTCGCCTGGTCCCTCGTGAGCCTCGTGATGGCACTTTTTCCTCCCCCATGCGCGTTTTAGTTAGACAATAAGTACTAAATACCATCCAGTCTCTGTCTTTATTATTTATGCTATTCAAAAGATTTCTCAAGTTTAAAAAATAAGGAGCACGTTGCGACTAAATTGTCATTGACAGTATAATAGCTATTGGGATATAATGATTGTATTTGATTTTTATAATAGCTATTGGGATATAATGATTGTAAATGTGAACGTTTTTTCCCCCACAAGAGCTTACGAGCTCTCAAGAAATCGTTCCAGAGCATTCGTTCCTTGGTGAACTAGGATGACTAGGATTAGCACTGAACCGCCTCCCATGTTGGTGAAGACGTGTGTTCTCTCCACTGCGCAACCCGTCAACCTTGAACAGATCTAAGAGAGAATGAGCGTTCCAACTTATTGCGAGGATAAATAATAATAAGGAAAAAGAAACCACTCGTAGCTAACAGTATTGCAGTTTTTACTTCGTCACTAATCAGCACCATTTTCTTTCCTGTTGCAGCAACCGTCTATGATTTACTCAGAAGAGTATCAGGTAGTAAAAAACACCGGTCCATGTTTTACTTGCGCCTCCACGATTTGTGTTTTAGTAGAGTGTCTACGACGCAGGCAGGTAGTCTGATAGCGTCCAGTGTGCTTGATAATCCCTTTCCTCACTATCATTATCATCTTTCGAATTCTTGCTCTCCCAGCCACTACCATCAAATGTCATCGCTATCATCACCTTAACATCATCAGTAGTGTGGTAGGGATGTTTTACTCCTTTTTGGGGTAGGAATCTCTTTTTCATGAATAAAATGCGGAGGAATCTAATTAAGATAAGGTCATATGCTATTTTTAGATGGTTTAACCGGTTTGACAGGGTTAATATCGATGAATGTCTTGCTTTTTGAATGGTTGACTAAAAAATAAGAAAAGTATTTATTGTTTGCTTCATTCGAAGGAACAAGTGCTAACTCGCCCGTGACTCAAAATCACTAAGCTAGAACGTAGTTAAGAGTTTTATTTCCTGCCGCTTTCATCGTCCACTGCAGACAACAAGTTGTTCTAGTTCCGGTTTACTGATTCTTAACGGGCAAATCGTGCTCTTTCTAGCACTCAGCACAAGTTCTTACTTACCAAATCCCCCTTCCTCTCCTCCAAAATTCATTTTCCCCTCTTCCTTATATTCTTTATATTACCTCCACCACCACCACCACCACCACCACCACCACCACATTGCTGTTATTACAACTCACCCCCAGAATCCACCGGCCAGCTCTTCTTACAGGGTTCTGATCAGGATCATTATAAGCCTTTTAGGAAAAACTGCCACCTACCCCTCGCTTAGCCCTTGTAATAGGCCTGTCACGTTTGTCACACACGAACGTTTTGTCTTTCCGTTATTTCTGTCGCCCCGTTTCGTAAGCTCACTATTCAAGAAACTGGCCCCCGAACAAAATCTTTACTGCACTGCCAACAGAAATGACAATTCATAAAAGGTTTTTGTCTTTCTTCAGCCGGCATAAAGTTCATTTTGATTTGTTTTATTTTACAGGTGGATACAATGAAGAAATATTTTCCCGTCTTTGATAAACTCAGAAAGGAGTTTTTGGTGGGAGAAATGATTTGGACCTTTACAGACTACAGCGTTCTGGAATGTAAGTAAGACAGACAATCAGTGTTAATGGGTGAAAAGGAGGCCCGACGTTTTAAAATTATTCCTTTGTAAAGGAAATTACTTTCTTTCATTTAAAAGCAATTTTTACTCAAAAAAATAATACTCACGATATTGGATTTTTTTTCAGTAATTAGTTTAGGCCCAGTCCACACGAATATAGAAACGAATCGATCGGCGCGCGCACACTACCGTTTTGATGCGTTTTCGACGTTCCACACTAACACGTTCGACAACGATAGAATTGAAAGTTGTGACGTAAGTTGAACTCTATGGGCATGCTACAAACACACGCGCCTGCGATATTTTTGGTCATCGTTTTTATTTTGCGACCGTCAACACTAATACGATATGTATGCGTTTTCGTTTTGATCCACTTTCAAGAGCGTTTTTAAATCTATGCGTTTTCGGTGAAACCGCGCAGCGTATTAGTGTAGACGGAAGGCCTAAACGCTTCGTCCGTTGGTGCGGACGGGGCCTTGTGTCAGTAATGATTTATTATCATAATCATTCATGGAAATCTGTGCATGAACCATCTTTCACTGCAAAATTAAAGATGATCACTACAAAACTACGCAAATTTCAAATTCTCACACACAAGGATAAGATCCTGATTATGGGCTTATTTAAAAATTGTAATTCATAGGCATCGGCCGGTATGAAGCAAAACTTCACCGGAAATTAAAGACTGACAACAATGCTTACAAACATCCCATAGCCATCAGATTTGGAGATTGAATCAGTTTTTATTTGGTTTTTCACTACTATTTCAACTGACTTTGCTGACTTTGTCTTAATTCATTTACCTGCATAGCCTCCGTGGCAGGCGTTCGAGAGAGAAGGGTAAAGGAATTAGGGAGCGAGACCACGCGCGGAGGAGGAGGGAGGAGCCCCACACGCTCTCACGCGCCCAAATTCCCCCTTCAGCCCCTACCCCTTCCCCTTTTAACGCCTGCCACGCAGGCAATTACCTACACTGACCTGGGCATGAATTCAGCGGGGTGGTAGTTATTCGTTTTGCGATGTCTCGGTAACCTTGGAAAGCAAGGTCTAAAAGATTGATAGAGTTGCAAATGTTTGTGTTTGGTTTAGCACTTACTAAAGCTTATCAACCTAAAGTTGCAATGTTTTGCGTCCTTTTTGTTCTCCTCAGCTTACAATCCTATGTCAGCTAACACAAAGGGGCTGTTAACTCGTCAGAGACAACCGAAGGCCTCGGCGCATGCTCTACGACTGAGATACCAAGCCTTAACCATGGACGCACATCCGAGATTCACTGGTGACGAGTTACTGGACACGTTAATAAGATTTAAGCCTCGCCTTGGTACAGAATACCCAATCATTTTTAAGAATCGACATCGACTGCCTGCTTTGATTCGAGAGGAAAGAGTTAACACCACCATCAGAAAACGCTCTGTTGACCATATCATGGTTTTCTATGAACCATAATTAGCCATTCCTTCCCTACGAATCCTGATTTCAAAACTTGAGAACGTTAGTTGTATAATAAAAGATGTTCTTCATCGTGGTAATATCAGTGAATGTTTGCATGTGTGGGGGCTACTGAAACGTTGAAAACGTAGAGTGACAGCGGAGCGAAATATCATTTCATTTTCATTCGCACTGGTTTCATAGAAAGGAAGTCAGTTTGAGAGATTTATTTCAGTTTGAAAATCTCGACATAAAATATAAACGGCGAACTACTAAAAATCCTTAAAGCAAGGCGATGCACAAGTAAACAAAAGAACAAAACAAAAAATATACATTTAAAAATGAATTTGCCCAATATTTCGGTTTGAAAGACAAACCTTCTTCAGGGGGCTAAACCTAAATTTACCAAACCAGGAGCCCACAATGATGGGCTCCTGACCAAACCTCTATTTGTTAAATATATATTTTGTAGTTTTATTCTTTTGTTTACTTGTACATCGCCTTGCCGTAAAGATCAGTTTGCCGTTTTTACAAGTTGTTACTGTGCTGATCCGGGTCTACAACAGTGAGATCCGGCACGTACCACTCAACGGTTTGTCGCTGTGGACTCGCTATCTAAACTTTTCAGTGGTATATCGACACTTGTACCCCGGATACCAAAGGGTTTTTCTTGCTTGCGGCGTGAGTTGAACTCTCGACATTTTCATAACACAGTCAGTAATTGTACAGAAACTCAAAGCAAGAGACACACCCAAACACCAATCCACCATCTGGACCAACCTAGTCCCCAAGGTCATCTCGCTTCCCCTTGGAAAGCGAGAAGAGCCTGGGGACGAGGTTGGGTCTGGGTCTGGACGATCTGGACTGGACAGTACTTCACGGCAACCTCGTCCCCAAGGCTTTTTCCTAGGAAAAGGGCCGCTCCCATTTTCTTAAGGAAAATAGCTGGGGGCAAAGTTGAGTACACAACAATTTTCGGGTTTTGACTGCCTAGTGACGTCTGTTACCAAATGACATACATGAGCAGAGAAAGATTGCTGTACAATGTTTCTTTCTAAATTCACCTCTGATGGACTTACATTTTAAGAAGGCATTTTTTCTGGTTGTTTTTCTGTGTGTGTAAGGAAAAGGGGTTGATTTGAGAAGGAAAGCTTTTAGGTCTAAAAAAAAGGATAAAGTAACGTAATCCAGTTAGTCTACTAATGAGCTTGAAAGCGCCTTGTTTTGGTGAAGGACTACATGTATGTGGTACTGATTTGTCTGCTAATTATTCCCTTCATATTTTAATTTTCAACAGCCTCCTAATTAGGCCTTTCCCGATTGCGCTGAGCACCTTTTGAGCACTTTTTTGAGTTTGGAGCACTATTTTGCATTTTGAGCACCCTTAAGCACTTTTTCGCACTTTGGGCAACATTTGAGCAATATTTCACATTTCGAGCAAATTTCGAGCAACATATGTCTTCTAAAACATTTTAAAACAAAAACTGTGTGTCGCTCGCAACGAGAATCGTGTTCCAGGTCATAAATTTGAATAACTAATGATGTTGTCAAGAATAAAAGACCGTTGTCATGGAAAGGCACGTGGACTTATCCTCACTGAGCGTGAGTACAGAAGTTTCTGATTGGCTGATGTATCATGCGTGTGTCATCTCAAATTTCTAAATCATCTGATGCTAGCACTGCTGAATTTATTTACAATTCGTAACCGGCTTTAGTTTTTTAAAAATATTATTGTTCTATATTCTATCAACCTTTCGTAACAACCTGTCGAATAACACTACGCAAAATAGATTGTTAATTACTTCAGTAAAA